ATGGGCACTACAAGTCCGAATTTAAAAGATGCAAATGCTTTGGCATATTTAGTCCTTTGAATTTTAAATTATAATTATAATCATACCGTGTATGATTGAATTCTCCCATAAAAACTTTTCATTGTTATGTGGAGCTCTACTAAATTAGGAAAGTGGTGTAGGGTATTATAAAGTCGGTCCCGCACGACTTTAAGACTAGACTCTTTACTGGTTTTTCGGTGAGGTTTGCAGTGGTTTAGGAACAGTGTTTTGAATTTTTCGGTTTGTCAGAAATGTATCGCAGGATATATAAATTTACGTATGGACATCACCTATATTAATATACGAACAATGTTGAAACGGCTACCTTAAAAGTCAGCATGACTGTCAACCGTCAATGAGGTCACAAGTAAAATTGTATAAGTCGGTTTTGCCGACAGATGTATAACGCCAGCCTTGATTTATGATTATTCAAACTGTTGACTCTTTATGGGGGAGGCTCCGATAAAAATATAAAAAACTGATATAAATATTACAAAGTGCTAGATGTAGACCCCTTTCTATACTTTACATGAAATATGTGCAAATTTTTTGAAAATGTGGAAATAAGCGTGAGGTGACACACAGAGCAGATCGAAGTATTCCATTTTTATACTAGATATACATAAAAATATTGGTATTATATTAGATATACATAAAAATCTTGGTATGGGTAAAACTACAAAAAAAATTAAACAATTGCAGGGTGAGATATAAAAAAACTGCAACAAAGTCAAACGCCATAATTTTTACATATTTTTTTAATTTTATTGAGGAAAGCAAAAAAAGGCGGAAATAGCATCAAAGCTTAGAATAAGTTTAGAGTTGTTCGAATTGGTCACCTTTGGCACGAATTATGACCTTCAAACTGCCAATTAAACCGTCACACGCTACCCGAATATTACTCCGCGGTATTTTGGTCCATTCCCGGCGTAGCGCTTGCTTGAGGTGATCTACACTTTGGTATTTTTTAGTGCAAACCTTGCTTTCCAAAATCCTCCAGACACAATAGTCCAACGGATTGGTATCTGGAGATTTTGGTGGTCACTGTGCGCTGGAAATGAAGCGAGGAACCTCATTTTGTAACCATTCTTGGGTGGCGTGTGCTGATGCGGTGGCGCTGAGTCTTGTTGAAATGTCCAAGGTCAAATGTTTTCGTGCCCAAGACTTTAATACACCTTCCAGAATATATTCGCTATAGTATTCGGCATTTATTATGATGCCACGGTCGATTAATACGAGTGGAGAGCGATCATTGGCTGTTATGGCGGCCCACACCATCAGCATGGCCGGCGCTTGAATTCTGGTCGCCAACCGAAGCTGCACATTTTCAGCTGACCTCTTTGGACAAACGGCTGGACCACGAATGTTTTTTCATCGGAGAAAATCTAATTCGGCTGTTCACCACTTTCGTCCAAGCGAAGCAACTCTTTAGCTCTTTTGAGCTTTTTTTCTTTCTGTTGCGGTGTAAGTTCTTGCACTTTTTGGAATTTCAATGGCTTTACCCCGAGCGCCATTTTTCGGACTCTGAGACGCGGATTTCGATCAAGTCGTTTCTTTATCTTTCGAATCATTTCTGCTGATGTTGCTGTTTTCTGTTCTTCTGTCCACTTCCTTGACGTCGGGCTACGCTACCAGTATCACGGTAACAAGCGATGGTACGGGACTCAAACGATTTATTCAAATTTAAATGTGGAGTGCTATAACGACTTGTGGCCACTTGTGGTTTTTCGGCCAAATATAAATAAATCACACTATCACGCTTGAATTCCATCAGGAATAACTTTTTTTCTGGAGAATTCTAACCCAAATGCTTTTGTTCGCTTGTAAACAATATAATGAGCTGTCACTGGATAACTTTAGCAGCTGTCGGACGAGTGGCTTAGAAATGACAGCATTCTGAAGTTGGTTGCAGGTTTTTCATCGCACCCTGTAATTTGAAGAGAACCAGATGCTCATTTGGTATTTTATGGCCGTGTGGGTTATTCAAAATGTTGACCCTCTGTGGGGACGTACCAAAAGGAATGGTCCGATCTTTAGCATATTTATTACAGATCTTGTGTTGATAAAAATGTTGAGACATGCCAAGTCTGAATAAAAGCGGATGCTAATTTCATGTTTTATGAGCTTCATTGGCACTCAAAATGTTGACCCTTTGTGGTGGAGGTAGCAGCAGGAGCGGACAGATGTATCCCATCTTCACACTAGACTTTGGATTAATTAAAACATTGTGTTATGTGTAATTTGAAGATAATCGGACTATTACATCACATAAGACAGATGCATGGATTATCTTTCCTCTCTCTCTGCAGTAAATTCTTTTCTTCCAAATTTTTGATATTTTGTGGGGTGGTACCAGAAGGAGTGAGTGGGCCGATGTTGCTCATCTCCGAACTCGATCTAAGTTTGGCAATAATAGTTTGGATCGAATCGGATACTCCTTTCGAGAGTTCTCGTGCGCACCAGTCATACATACGGACGCACATTGCTAGATCAACACCAAATGTCCTGAAACGGTTTTAGTCGAACGGACAGACACCATTATATCGACTTCAAATGAAACGGATTTGGTCCATAGATCTATGATCTAAAACCGTTATTTCGATTAGGCACGTTTTGGCCGCATCAAATGATATATACCGTCTTTAGCCAGACCCTAGGTCCTTTTGGAACAAATCAGTTTCAAGACATTCGGAGCCGACTCTCGAACGCAGTGTCCGATTTGTTCCAAACATAGTACCTCCTAATATTTTTTTTTTTTTTCAAATTTAGATCGAGTTCGGAGATGGCCAATATTGGTTCACTCCCTCCGGTACCTCCCCCAAATGTTTTGCTGAACACAAAGAGAGAGGATTATCCGATTTTGCTCCAACTTTGCATATCCTAATATTTGCATCAATGCTAGGTCAGGTGCGAAAATGGATGATATCGGTTCACTCCATCAAGTAACTCTCCCACAACTGCGATGTGAGAGTCCGATTGTCTTCAAATTTCACACATCCCAATATTTTTATCAACCCAAGGTCTAGTTTTTAAATGGAATATATCGGACCGCTCCTTCTAGTACCTCCCCCACAAAAGGTCGAAATTTTTAACAAATATTTTTTTCCGCAGAAAGTGAAAGGATAATTCCAACTTTGCAAATATCAATATTTGCATCAATGCTTGGTCATGTAAAAAAATCGACAATATCGGTCCATTCTATCAAGTACTTCTCCCACAAAGGTTCAAAAAGTGTGAATAATTATATATCTTATTCAATTCAAGCTTGATAGTGTGATTTCTTTATATTTGGCGAGAAAACCACAAGTGGCCATCGCTATAGCACTCCAGCATTTAAATGTGAATAAATCCTTTGTGTCTCGTACCATCGCTCGTTACCGTGATACTGGTAGCGTAGCCCGACGTCAAGGAAGTGGACTGAAGAAAAGAGCAACATCAGCAGAAATGGTTCGAAAAGTAAAAAAGCGACTTGATCGAAACCCCCGTCGCAGTGGCCGAAAAATGGCTAGTGAGCTGAACAGATCGCAATATTCTATTCGGCAAATATTGGAAAATGAGCTCGGGGATAAAGCCATTAAAAACTTATACCGTGACGGAAAGAAAATAGACTCAAATGAGCTAAAGAGTTTCTGAGGTGAGAGTTGAGTGGTGAACTGCCGAATTTGGTTTTCTTGGATGAGAAGATATTCGTTGTCCAGCAGTTTGCACCAAGCACAATGGCCACCAAGATCTCCGGATACCAATCCGTTGGACTATTGTGTCTTTTTTTTTTTTGGAAAGCAAGATTGCTACTAATAACTACCAAAATGTCGATCACCTCAAGCAAGTCCTTCGCCGGGAATGGGCCAAAACACCGCAGAGTAACAGTCGGGCAACGTGTGACAGTTTCATTTGCCATTTAAGGGCCATAATTCGTGCCAAAGGTTACCCGTTCGAACAAATCTAAACTTATTCTAAAATTTGTTGCTATTTCCGACATGTTTTGCTTTCGTTCAATACAATTAAAAAAAAATGTAAAAATTATGGCGTTTGACTGTGTTGCCGTTTTTTTCCTGTATCGAAAACTCCCTTGAAGTCTTAACTTGCTCACGGGCTAGCTATACAAACTTTCTTATATTCTCAAATCAACTTCAGATGTCAAGGAACATAAGTGACGAGATATGAGATATGAGCTACCTAGTTAAAAAGGTATTCTTTTATTGACTCAAATTCCTTCTCGTTTAATGAACTCCTTTTGCGAATTGATTGTAAAGAAAAGAGTATTGAAAATTTTCCTATGAATTCACTTTGCCAACACTATTTCCATACATGCCTTTCCGTAAAAAGAAACTTCATCTTCATTGTGATATAATTAATTCAATTATCATCCGAACACTGTACAGTAAAAAATAAATCTCGAGAAAGTTACAAAATGCCTGAGGTTTTTTCTACGAATGTTAAAATGATATTTCTCCACTCACTTGTCAAGACTGCAGAAGAAGATATGCGTAGCATTTTCCATTTTATACTTTCTCTTTTTTTTTTTTTTGTGAACAATTTCCATGAAGTGAAGTCACCAGAAGTGTTTGATGTTGTTGCTTGTGGTGTTTTTGCACTTGCTTGACTTCTGCTGCTGCTGTTGCTTGGCATGAAGTGCTGCTGATAATTTTTAATTAATACATAAAACACACCAACTGACCAACCAAGGACCTTCTGTTCGAGTTATTAAGAAGACAATCAAAGGACGATGAAATGAAAAGAAAGAAAAAAAAACCGAACTGCATAAGAAATGTGTTACTTCATACCACGGCAGAAAAAGGACAATTATTTTCGCTTTCAAGCAAAAATAATTTAATTAAACAAAATACCTATAGAAAGGGGAGAACGAAAATGTACAATTCTTAATTATTTGCTCTCATTTTCTTTTTTTTGTGTCTTTTCATGTCATTTGCTTCTCTACGTGGATGTGTGTTTGTGTTTGTGTGGATATGTGCACACAGTGGAAGTGGTTTTTCTGGCTTGGGGTGTACGCCTCTGCATTATGGTGCGCAAAGCTCCATCCGAATTCAATGAAAGCCGTTTCATCTCCATGGCAATTTACAATGAATTCCTGCTGACTTGTTTCCTGAATGTCTCCATGTAAGTATTATTTAATTGTAGTATTTAAATGTTTTTTTTTTTTTTTTCAATGGACAATAAGTTATTTTATTTAATAAATTATTTTATATTTAAAAAAAGTTTACTTTTTTTTTATCATATTTTATAGAAGATCAGAAGGTCTTCTGATAGGAGAGCAGAATGTCCTCTCATAGAAGAGCCGAGGGTCTTCTCATAGAAGAGCCGAGGGTCTTCTCATAGAAGAGCCGAGGATCTTCTCATAGAAGAGCCGAGGATCTTCTCATAGAAGAGCAGAAGTAGGTCTTCTCATAGAAGAGCAGAAAAGGTCTTCTCATAGAAGAGCAGAAAAAGGTCTTCTCATAAAAGAGGAGAAGAAAGTCCTCGCATAGAAAAGCAGAAGAAGGTCTTATCATAGAAGAACAGAAGATGGTCTTCTCATAGAAGAGCAGAAGAAGGTCTTCTCATAGAAGAGCCGAGAGTCTTCTCATAGAAGAGCAGAAGAAGGTCTTCTCATAGAAGAGCAGAAAAAGGATTTCTCATAGAAGAGCAGAAAAAGGTCTTCTCATAGAAGAGGAGAAGAAAGTCCTCGCATAGAAGAGCAGATGAAGGTCTTCTCATAGAAGAGCAGAAGATGGTCTTCTCATAGAAGAGCAGAAGAAGGTCTTCTCATAGAAGAGCCGAGAGTCTTCTCATAGAAGAGCAGAAGAAGGTCTTCTCATAGAAGAGAAGAGCAGAAGGTCTTCTCATAGAAGAGAAGAGCAGAAGGTCTTCTAATAGAAGAGAAGAGCAGAAGGTCTTCTCATAGAAGAGGAGAAGAAAGTCCTCGCATAGAAGAGCAGAAGAAGGTCTTCTCATAGAAGAGAAGAGCTGAAGGTCTTCTCATAGAAGAGAAGAGCAGAAAAAGGTCTTCTCATAGAAGAGAAGAGGCAGAAGAAGACGGTCTTCTCATAGAAGAGAAGAGCAGAAGAAGGTCTTCTCATAGAAGAGAAGAGCAGAAGAAGGTCTTCTCATAGAAGAGAAGAGCAGAAGAAGGTCTTCTCATAGAAGAGAAGAGCAGAAGAAGGTCTTCTCATAGAAGAGAAGAGCAGAAGAAGGTCTTCTCATAGAAGAGAAGAGCAGAAGAAGGTCTTCTCATAGAAGAGAAGAGCAGAAGAAGGTCTTCTCATAGAAGAGAAGAGCAGAAGAAGGTCTTCTCATAGAAGAGAAGAGCAAAGAAGGTCTTCTCATAGAAGAGAAGAGCAAAAGAAGGTCTTCTCATAGAAGAGAAGAGCAGAAGAAGGTCTTCTCATAGAAGAGAAGAGCAGAAGAAGGTCTTCTCATAGAAGAGAAGAGCAGAAGAAGGTCTTCTCATAGAAGAGAAGAGCAGAAGAAGGTCTTCTCATAGAAGAGAAGAGCAGAAGAAGGTCTTCTCATAGAAGAGAAGAGCAGAAGAAGGTCTTCTCATAGAAGAGAAGAGCAGAAGAAGGTCTTCTCATAGAAGAGAAGAGCAGAAGAAGGTCTTCTCATAGAAGAGAAGAGCAGAAGAAGGTCTTCTCATAGAAGAGAAGAGCAGAAGAAGGTCTTCTCATAGAAGAGAAGAGCAGAAGAAGGTCTTCTCATAGAAGAGAAGAGCAGAAGGAAGAAGGTCTTCTCATAGAAGAGAAGAACAGAAGAAGGTCTTCTCATAGAAGAGAAGAGCAGAAGAAGGTCTTCTCATAGAAGAGAAGAGCAGAAGAAGGTCTTCTCATAGAAGAGAAGAGCAGAAGAAGGTCTTCTCATAGAAGAGAAGAGCAGAAGAAGGTCTTCTCATAGAAGAGAAGAGCAGAAGGTCTTCTCATAGAAGAGAAGAGCAGAAGGTCTTCTCATAGAAGAGAAGAGCAGAAGGTCTTCTCATAGAAGAGAAGAGCAGAAGGTCTTCTCATAGAAGAGAAGAGCAGAAGGTCTTCTCATAGAAGAGAAGAGCAGAAGGTATTCTCATAGAAGAGAAGAGCAGAAGGTCTTCTCATAGAAGAGAAGAGCAGAAGGTCTTCTCATAGAAGAGAAGAGCAGAAGGTCTTCTTATAGAAGAGAAGAGCAGAAGGTCTTCTCATAGAAGAGAAGAGCAGAAGGTCTTCTCATAGAAGAGAAGAGCAGAAGGTCTTCTCATAGAAGAGAATAGCAGAAGGTCTTCTCATAGAAGAGAATAGCAGAAGGTCTTCTCATAGAAGAGAATAGCAGAAGGAGAAGGAGAAGAAGAAGATCAGCTCAAGGTCTTCTCATAGAAGACCAGCAATGAGAGCACCTCAAAGTCATCTCATAAAATACCACCTCAAGATCTTTATATCCTTAAGGGCTTAATGTTTTTTTTACAAAAGTCAAATATTTCTCTACTTTGTCACATCCTTCTTCCTGTGTGGGAGTAACTTTGCTTTCAAAAAGACATTTATCATTCAAATTGCCTATTGAACAAGAAAGAGGAGTTTATGGACATTTATGTTCTTTTATCATTTTTTATTTATTTCGGAGATTTTTGGTCTTTGTCCTGTCCAAAATGTCTTCCTTAGCCTTCCATTATAGTTTCACATCAATCACAAATGATTTGTTTTAATTCCCAACTTGTTTCCTTGGGCCTTTGAAATGGAAGTTTTTCACATTGTTTTTTTTCCTGTTTCTCTCTTTTCTTACAGGCTCTTCCTGCAATCGCCTGCCAATCCGGATTTATTGTACATAATATTTTTCTGTCATACTCAATTAACAATAACACTACTCTTGGCCTTAATATTTGGCAGCAAGGTAAGGCAACATTTCAACATTTCGTTTTTAAGCGTATGTGTGAGACAAGCTTTTTGTGGCCCTCTCATCAACCTTATAAATCATCAGGATAAGACAAAAAAAAAACAAGAAAAAGATAATAAAGCAAAATAGCCCTTATTACGGAAAGTCTTACATGCTGGACTTTGCACAGTTATCTTAAAATTATTGCCCTGGGTGATTTTCGACTATTCCTTTTATTGCTCTATTTCGCCAATGGCCTTAATGCGTTTTCTTGTTCTTGTTCTCTCAATTCTTAGGTTTATATTGTGCTGCGTAGCGGTAAATCACACCAGGAGAACATTGGCATGGGTGCCAAGTCATCGGGTGCTAAATTCAATTTTCGCCCTCAGGTACGCACCTTTGCCAATCCCAGTTCGGTTACCACCTCCACAGCCCCCGTGGCGGCCACCACGTCAGCAGGTAAGCCTTAAAAACTGAAAAGCAAACTATTAAGCGATAAAAATGACTGAAATAAAATAATAATAAAAATGAATAAAGTCGGACAAACGGATATTAAGATAACAGAATGTATACTCGCAATACGAGAACACCAAAAAATCAAACGATAAGCAAAATGTAATAAAACTGGCATAATCGTCGATAAGGCGAAATGGATTTTTGAACTTTCCGCCATCAAACGAAGATAGAAATAAAGCTATAAACATTTGCCAAAATGACCTTCGTTAAAATGATTAAAGGTAAACGGGAAAATGTTAATTGGGGTTTTAGGGATCAATAAACGCGGATTTTGTGAAGAATATTTTTTCAAGAACCATCATATGTGGATTTTAAAGGAATCTCTTTTTAAGAACAAACCAGTAAAGAAAGTCCTAAAGTCGGGGCGGGGCCGACTTTATGATACCCTACATCACTTTGCTAATTTAGTAGATTCAAAGGACTTAATATTGTATCTTTTAAATTCGGACTTGTATTGCCCATTTGGTGCAAAATTAATTTGAAATCAAATAGAGATATATTTGGGAGCTATATCCAAATCTGAACCGACCTAGATAAAATTTAGTAAAGGTATTTCTGAGCTGTATTTGATATATTTCCCTGAATATCGTTGTTACGGAGTGCATATTACCGCTGTGGGTAACGAATACAACAAATCGGATGAACAATATATATGGGAGCTATAGCTATATCTGAACCAATCTTCACCAAATTTGGCATACTACCTTCTAGACTCAATTCGGTCATATGTGCCAAATTTCATCCCATTTGGGCAAATATTTTGGTGTACAATAAAAAATAAATCGGACGACGTTATATATGGGAGCTATATCCCAATCTGAACCGATCTCGATAAAATTTAGCAAAGGTATTTCTGAGCTGCATTTGATATATTTTCCCAAAAATTGTTGTTACAGAGTGCATATAACGTCTGCGGAGGACAAATATAACAAATCGGATGAACAATTTATATGGGAGCTATAGCTATATCTGAACCGATCTTCACCAAATTTGGCATACTACCTTCTAGACTCAATTCGGTCATATGTGCCAAATTCCATCTCATTTGGGCAAATATTAGACGTTTGGTGTACAATAAAAAATAAATCGGACGACGTTATATATGGGAGCTACATCCAAATCTGAACCGATCTCGATAAAATTTAGCAAAGGTATTTCTGAGCTGCATTTGATATATTTCCCCAAAAATTGTTGTTACAGAGTGCATATTACATCTGCGGAGGACAAAAATAACAAATCGAATGAACAATATATATGGAAGCTATAGCTATATCTGAACCGATTTCGATCAAATTTGGCATACTTATTTTAAGGCCTAATTTGGGTGTATGTGCAAAATTCCATACTATTCTGGCTGATATTACACGTTTGGTGCACAAAAAAAGCAAATCGGACGAAGACAAATATGGGAGGTATATCTAAATTTGTACCGCTTATCTCCAATTTTAATAGGGTTTGTCCTTGGCCCAAACAAAAGATTTGTGCAAAATTTCATCTCAATCGGATAATAAATGCGACCTTCATTTTGTTCACAAGAAAACATGGACAGAGGGACAGACGGACTGAAATGCATAAATCAACTCAGAAAGTGATTCTATGGAGATCCTCAAAAGGAACTATGGGTCTATCTCGTTTCCTTCTCCATGTTACAAATAAATGCACAACGACATAATAACCTTACCAATAGCAATAAATACGATTTAAAAAACTTATTTTTCGAGGACTAACAGATGTGGTGTTAATTTAAACATTTTGCCAAGGACCAAAGAACATGGACTTTTTAGGAACCTTTTTTTCAAGTACCAACAAGGATCGACAAACCCTAATTTTTAGGAATACCTATTGCAGTCAAAAAGGCTAACAAACCTGAATTTTTTTTATTTGGTTATCTTTAAAGGACAAATATTGTACAAAACATGGATTTTTATACCCTACAGCACTCTGTGTTGTAAGGGCTAGAAAACTGAATTTTTAAGAATAGTTTTTAGGGATCAAAAAACCACAGAACCCACAACCCTAAATTAATTTGAAGAACCAAAAATCTTAGACACCATGATTTAAAAAAAAAAAAAATTTCATGGACCAATAGCGTGGTTTTAAGGAATATGTACTCTTTTATCTGACGTTGGGCGCCATATTAGTCAAGTATTTGAAAATTATGTTGTTAAGCTATGAAATTAAGTCATGGAATATTCAATACATCGCTTCGACTACCTACAGGTCAGCTATTGGATTTCGCTTCTGAAAGTTAGGGATTCTGGGATCGGTCCCAAAGTGGCGCCCAAGATGGTACATACCAAAGGAATCTGGCTTACAAAATTTAAAGTTCACACCAAATCAAAATAGCACAATCAGCACAAGAAAATCCCAATAAGGGACAGTAAGGAAGCCTTAAGGTTCTTATGACTGTGAACATTTTTTTACATGCTTTTTCAGGACCAACTGGCGTGCATTTTTAAAAGAAAATATTTTTAAAGGATCACTACAATTCCATTTAATTGAAAAGTCAAATTTCTTGTTGATGAACCAAAAACCAATGTGGCGACAAACGTTGGGCGCCATTTTTGGCAACCATAAAAACTATACTGTTTGGCTGCGGAAAAAACTCTCTGAATATCCATGTTTCGGCTCCCAGCAAGTTATTTTTGTGGATTTCGGTTACCACTGTTAAGGATACTAAGATCGTTAGAAAAATGGCGGCCCATCCAAGGACGCTGGTTTACAAAAAAGAATGATGTACCCATATTTAAAGTTAACGCCAAATCAAAAGCATCTGTCATCATCAGAAGTTCCAAAAAACGGCACAGTTAGAGGGCCTTAAGTGTATTATAAATGTGAACAATTTTTACGTGTTTTTCAAGGATCAACTACTGTGGACTCCTAAAAGAAAATATTTTCAAGGATCTTTAGAATTACATTCGGTTTAAAACCACATATTTTGTCTGTGAGCCAATAAACAAAAAGGCGACTAACGTTGGGCGCCATTTTTATGAAGTCTTTGAAAACTCAGCTCACTGAATATTCAAGCTTCGGCTTGACAACCAGGTCAGCTAATGAATTCCGATTCCCAAAGTTAAGAATTCTATGATCGGTCCAAAAGTGCCGCCCAAGCTGGGGCTCTAGGTATATGGCTTACAAACAGAACGGTGTACCCGCAGTAAAAGTTTATGCCAAAATAGCAGCTTTTATCATTAGAAGTTAGGAAACCTTAATCTCAGGGTCTTATAAGTGTAAACCTTCTCTTCTTGTCACTGAACCAACAGACACAGTGTGGGGACTAACGTTGGGCGCCAATTTTGTCAAGTCCTTGGGAATTCTGAGATCTGTTCAAAAGTGGGGCCCAAACTGTATTCTTTTGTCCAAAGGGTGACAAATTTCCTTCAGAATTAAGGGCCAATGGCCTTTTTATACCCTACACCACAAGGTGGTCAGGGTATTATGTCTTTGTGCATTTGTTTGTAACAGGCAAAAGGAAACGAGATAGACCCATAGTTCCTTCTGATGATCTGCATAGAATCACATCCTGAGTCGATTTATGCATGTCCGTCCGTCCGTCTGTCCATGTATTTTTGTAAACAAAGTATAGTTGGCATTTATTGTCCTATCCAGATGAAATTTTGCACAAATCATTTGTTTGGCCCCAGGACGAACCCTGTTGAAATTGGAGATAATCGGACAAAATTTAGATATAGCTTCCATATATATCTTCGTCCGATTTGCTTTTTATTGCGCACCAAACGTGTAATATCAGTCCGAATAGCTTGGAATTTTGCACGTACGATAAGATTGGACCTGAAAATAAGTATGCCAAATTTGAAAATAAGTATGCCAAATCGGTTCAGATATAGCTATAGCTCCCATATATATTGTTCATTCGATTTGTTATTTTTGTCCTCCGTAGCCGTAATATGCAGTCTGTAACAACAATATTTGGGGAAATATATCAAATATAGCCCAGAAATACATTTGCTAAATTTTATCGAGATCGGTTCAGATTTGGATATAGTTCCCATATATAAGTTCGTCCGATTTACCTTTGATTGTACACCAAACGTCTAATATTTGCCCAAATTGGATGAAATTTGGCACTTACGACCAAATTCTAGTCTAGAAGCTAGTATGTTAAATTTGGTGAAGATCGGTTCAGATATAGCTATAGCTCCCATATGTACTGTTCATCCGATTTGTTATATTTGTTACCCACAGCCGTAATATGCATTCCGTAACAACGATATTAAGGGAAATATATCAAATACAGCTCAGAAATATCTTTGCCAAATTTTATCGATATCGGTTTCGATTTGGATATAGCTCCCGTATATATTTTTATCCGATTTCAAATTAATTGTGCACCAAATGGACAATACAATTCCGAATTTAAAAGATACAAATGCTTCGGCATATTCAGTCCTTTGAACTTTCTTCACTGGTTTTAAATGTTTTTAAGGTTTCGACGAGAAAAACTTATGGTCATCTGGGAAAAAATTCAATTTTCAAAAAAATAACATCCGTTAAAAATTCTATTAAAATCTTATATAGCCTTTATATTAGGGTCTATACGACGACGTGGACCTGCGTGGGCAACTTTTGTCATAAGCCATAAAAAATTCAAATGTGAAACCAAAATACCGAATATCGGAGGGTGCCGCTACGTGGGGGCTATACGAAGACGTGGACCAACACAGATAATTTTCAGTCTTACGCTGTAGTGTCCATTTCGAGCTTCAAATACCAAATTTGAAACAATTCCGGTGAATATGTAATGTCGCCAAAATCATCAAAATACCGAATATCGGAATGTACCGTTATATGTGGGCTATACCAAAACGTGAATCTACATGGCCCATTTTCAATACCAAAAGTCCTGCAAATATAATACACATTTGAGTAAATTTTTATCCACCTAACTTATTTCGTTCGGAAGCTAGAGTGGTTTCCACAGA